GTGGGGTCTTGTGAGGAGGCCACAGGAGGCTGGATATTCTGGCCCATCACTTTCTGCCTTACTCATTTGAGACAGGCTAAGGTTATAGGCATACAAGGTTTTTCTAGCTTTTTAAATGTTTCTGCTAATAACCAACCACAGATCTTCATATTTGCACACATTCATGTCTGTTCCATGTACATGCTTTGTGCCTAAGGAGGCCAGAGGAGAGCATTGAATCTCCTAAGAGTGGAGCTATAGATGGTTGTGAGCCACCTTGTGTGTGCTTGGAATCAAACTCACATCCTTTGGAAGAGCAGCCAGTGCTCTTAACCACTGGGTCATCTTTTTTAGTTCCTCATTACCACTTTTCCTTTCTTGTGTATTTTTTTTCTTTTCTTTAGAGGATTGGAAGTGGGAATGGGGTTTTTGATTCCCTTCTTTCTTTCAAAGCTTGCTTTTACATAACAATAACTTATAAATAAAAATGAAAGCTTTGTTAGAAGTTGATGGCTAGAATTATACTATGTAGTTTAGAAAGTGTCTGGATAATAAGATTGATAGATTTCCACCTAGATCTTTTGTGACACATTTACCAACTAAGTTTATGAGGACGTTTACATCCACGGGATTCTTCTCTATAAAATGAAATCCAAAGAGTATCTCCTGATGAGAACATATTTTATGTTTTATATAATACAAACTATTTTGGAGACTTAACTGCTGTGAATAAGAACTATGTGTTGTGGTTTCCTATGCTATTGTGCCACTATCTGTGTGCTCCTCTGTCATTCTCCTACCATAGCCCCAAAGCAAGTGGCACTCTCACCTAGGTGTTTAGCTCAGCTTCTCCTAGGACCAGTGATTGAGGGTAGATGGGACACCATCAATTTCTCCTGGAAATTTAGAAGCTGATTTTAGAAGCAAAGGCAGATAAAGAGAGAAATGTAAGCCAAAAGTTGCAAAACACTCCTTTAAGAGGCAAGAAACCTCATTAGAAAAATCTTCTTAGTTCACTTCCTGTCTCCATTTCAAAGAATAGTGGATATAAGATATTAAATTAGTCAAAATCAGTAACTCCATAAAATGAGTAGTGTAGTGATAAAATCCATATATAGCTATTTTAAAAGTAAAACAGGAAGTGGAAAGAGGGCTCAGCAGTTCAAAGTGTGTAGTGTTTTTTTTTCAAAGGCATGCTCAAAACCACGGGCTATTCCAGCTCTGGAAATACCTGACACCTGGCCTTACTGCCCTCTCACACACATACATCTACACACAGTTATGCTTTAATGTTAAACCTTTAAAAAGGAGAAGAAGAAAGCATACACAGTTGTTTGTGTAAGTCACAAGAACTAAAAGGCAAATACAGATCTACATTAATATGGCCTGTGCATCTGTTGAAAGAATCCTTTTGCCATTTCAGCACTAGGAGGCACCCTTGTGCTCTTTTTACACCTGAGCCATTAGAATACAGTGTTAGGGGGAAAAAAAACTGCTGTAACAACTCCCTTGCTCTTCAGTTGCAAACCAAAGCAAACAAGATTTTGATAATCTCTTGCCTCTTGTTTTGGACACTGTCTTTTATTTATACATCAGTT